GGCGGGACGTGGGGCGGCGGGGGCGCGGCGCGCGGAGCTGAGGCGACGGTCGGACTGCGCGGCGGCCCGGGAGCTCGGCATGGCTCGCCTCGTGCTGGGTAGGCGCGGGCCTCCTCGTCCCGGGGGACCGCCTGGGAGGCCCGGGGCAGGGCGGGCGGGCGGCCTCGCGGGGCCAGGGCTGGGGTGGGGGATGCGGTCGGGGCCGTCCCTCGCGCCGGGGTGCGGGGCCCTGCCGGTCTCGGGGCGCGTGCGGAGGGGAGGCAGCGCGTCGGGGCTCCCGCAGCCCACCCCGGGGAGCGAGCGCGACGGGGTCGGGGAGTCCCGGGGTGGTGCATCCTGAGAACCACCGGGGAGCCCCGGGCCGAGGGGGGCGGCGGCGGGCCGGGCGAGGGTGAGGGCCGGGAGCTGCGTTCGAGCCGTGCGGAGCCGCTAGGACTCGATCCCTGGCGGAGGTGGAGCCGGGGGCGACCTGAGAGGGTTAGGGTCAGGGGTCCCTTGTCCTGGGCCCGCCCTCCTCACCCTGGCGTGTAGACGGCACGGCCGCGGGGTCCTCACCCTGCACCACTTGTTTAATGCCGTTCCCACTAATTGAGAAAAACTGAAATATCAAAACCCAGCCCTGGAAAAGGCCGAAGAGTTTGCTTTAGAAAGGGAACGGTGCCTTCCCAAAGCGCTTCAAGTGTGAGCGAACTTCTAAAAACTAAATGGGACGCAGACCACCATGAATTATGTAAATCCCTGTTTTAGAAACTGTGCAGTGAGTGGGGTTGAGGATCCCGACCCCTTTCTGGCCCGCCTTGGTCCCCGCCGAGGCGCTCTTAACCTTCCTTACCTGAACGCCCTGGATCCAGACCGCAGAGTTGGAGCCCCAGCCGGCCCTGCCCCGCATTTCCTAGCTGTGTGACGGCGAGCTAGTGACTTAATCACTCTGGGCTTGTCCTCCCCCGCTGGGTGGGTCTCAGGATGCACGAGTTCACATGGGTCTCGAGAGTAAACAAGATGTAAATATTTGCTGTAGTACAGAGAGGATGTAGAGGAGGGGAAAGGATTCTAGTCTCTGTTCAGTGTCCCTCGGGTGAATTCATACCGGGCGCGGAAAGAGTCTGTGATTCTATCATTCATTTGCATAAATGGAGTCAGACCTTTTTGGGAGCCCTCTTGGTTTCTAGATGAGTGCTGTGGGATCGTGTACTCTTGGTGGCAGGTGTGGGACAGAGATGCTACTGATGTGGATTTATGACATCCTTAACTACTGTGGAGGAATAATGGGGAGCCACAGATGGCAAAACCATCTGCTCACATAGATTCTAGACACTTGGATGTTCCCATTTCCCATTGGTGCTCATTATCAGTGAGTGGAACAGCCATGTGAATTTTAGAAACAGAACACTGTTAGTCGGCATTGACCCAGTTTATCATCTTAAGTGGCCCGGAGTGTTTTGTTTGTCTTCTTGAGGGTTTTCATAGGGGGTAGTTAACATCTTTTAATCTGTTTTTTTGAGTAGTATGGTTCGATTTTTTTTCCAGCCCTATGTGGTCATATTGCCTTCTAAGGAATGTGAGTCTCAAATCTTTATCATCAAGACATTTCCACTAAAGAGTCATTTATAAGGAAGGGGGGGGGGCTGTTGTGAGAATTCGGCAAAACTTAAAGACAAAAAGTCGGGGTGCCTGGGTGGCTCAGTTGGTTAAGCGTCCGACTTCCGCTTAGGTCGTGATCTCACGGTTTGTGGGTTCGAGCCCTGCATCGGGCTCTGTGCTGATGGCTCGGAGCCTGGAGCCTGCTTCGGGTTCTGTGTCTCCCTCTCTCTCTGCCCCTCCCCTGCTAGCACTCTGTCTCCTTCAGAAATGAATAAAAACATTAAAAAAATTTTAGGGGCG